CCATTGCACCTGTCTGTTTATACCCTGATGCCTAGATGGACAAGGTGTGTGTATGTGCGTGTGTGTGTGTGTATGTGTCTGAGTGAGTGTAAGGAGGCTGCAGGAAGAGGAACAGTGGGGGATGGGCAGGAAAGTGGGCTGTGGGGTCAGAGAGGCGATTTCACATTCATAGGCCCTGACTCAGCAGTTCCATTCTCTGGCTCCTTCAGTGGCTTTGGTGGGGATGCCCTGAGGGTCTCTCCAAGGTCAGAGTGGGCCCCAAGTCTGGGACCTGGCTTAGGGATCACCCTTCTCGACTCCTAGGAAACACTCCTTGCAGCCTGGGTCCCCCTCTTACCCCGTCACAGGCTGGGGAAGGAGGTTCCCTTTGGGGGGCTGGTGTCCGTGTTAAGCCACTCAGTAACTGACCACTCTCTTCAAAGTGCCTGGGCAGGGGTCCAGGATGACTGTGGGCAGGTCTCCTGGGTGCACCTGTTCTGGGCATGCATTAATTGCCTGGTGTGGGTACCTGTGTGCACAAGTGTGTGTATTCTTGGGCAGTATATGCTTCCTGTGGGTGTGTTACCATGGTGGGGCATTTCTGCAGTGTTCTTGTGTGTCTCTGGGAATGCCCAGTGTTCACAGCTAGGTGTGCATGGCTGTGAGTGCCCGATGTGCATGCATTGGTGGTTGAATGTAAGTGTTCTTGCATGTTGCCTCTGGCTAAGGAAGTGCCAACTACCACCAGCTGTGCAGATCACAGACCCTGCAACAGAAATCAGGGTCCGGGAGTGAGCTGGCAGAATGGTCTGGCACGTGTGCGCGCACACACACACACACACACACGCACACACTCTCTGTCTCATTCAGCAGCCCAGTGACCAGCCTCCGGGTACACACACTAGGTGCCAGTGTGTGTACACTTTTATTGGCGGAGTGAGTGAAGGGCGTCCCCCAGTCCCCCACACTCGTACAGATGCACAGTGATGCATTTACCCTTACAGGAGAGAGCTGCGCCCCCCAGCACCACTCTAACTCTGAAACTCATGGATGGGAGGAGGAGAACAGAGAAGGGGGCTGCTGCCAGGTGCCCTCGGTCACCAGGCATGTGCAGCCGCAACCCCGCCCCCACACCTACTCGTACCCTAGTCCAGGGTTCCAGGCAGAACTTAGAGTTTGGCCTCAAACTCTGGGATTCCCATGAGGCAGGACTGGGAAACCCCCAAGTCCTAGGTCTACCCCGCCCCCATCTCTGCCTTTCCTTCCCCCACTGTTTCCGTCTTTATCCCAGCAAAGCCCCTTCCTCTTCAGTGCTGGGGGCTCCAAGCCAGGGGCCCTCCGGATGGTGGGAGGGGGGGCCAGGCTACCGGCTGGAAAAAGCCCCCAGCAGCCGTGCACCCACCGGGTTCCCCTTCTCTAGTCTCCTCGAAGCCTGGGCCCGTCCCTGAGCATAGCCGGCAGAGGGCGCTGCGGCCCAGGCCCCGCACCAGCCCTGCTCCCGCGGCGCCCCAAGTCGGGGTCCACAGCCTCTCCTTCGGCTCGTCCCAGCCCCTGTGCTGCGCGAAGACCCCCCCGGCCGTTGCGGGAGGGTGCGGGACCCAAGGCCCCGAACCAAGGGGCGAGGGGCGAGGGTTCCTGGGTTCCTGAAAAAGACACTGAGGCCGGGTTTGGGGTCCGCCTGGTTGGGGGCCCGGGCGCCCGAGAACCTCGAGAGGCTGGGAGGAGCGCGGGTGCCGCGGAGCCGGGACGCCTGGGTCCCGCGCGGGGGAGGGAGTGGGCCTGTGGAGCCGCCGGACTGGCGGCTTCTGCGCCCTTGCATTGGCTGCACTGCTCGTCCGTCAGCGCAGTGTGGTCCAATGCGCGCGTCTCGGGGGCGGGCACTGGTGCTGATGCTGCCGTCAGTCGGTGTTGCAGGGATGCGGCGGCGGGAGCAGCCGCCCTGACTCGGGGAGCACCCCCCTGGGGGGGCCCCGGGGGGGGGGGGGGGGGGGGGGGACGCGGCGGGGAGTGAGAGAGGCGCGAGGCGGCAGACACCGCCAGCCCCGGCTCTGCCACCCGCCCGAGACGGAGACGGGGCGGCCCTGTGGCTCTGCTACCCACCCTCCAGCTTCTGGCGCCCCGAGAACCAGGTAAAAAGGGGGGGGGCTGCGGCGGAGACAGGCGGGGGGCGGGAGCCGATCGGGGGAGGGGAGCGGATCAGAGGGGGCGGGGGAGGCAGGACGGATGAATTGGGGGGCGGGGGCGCCGCGCTGAGAGGGCTGGCCGGGTGACAGAGAGGAGGCAAAGCCGCTGGGGGCTTGGGGGTCAGAGGCTCCTGTGGAAGGGGCACTGGCCCTGACAGCTGGGGAGAATGGGGAGGGGTGGGAGGGAGGGTCTTTGGGGGAAGGGATGGGGAGAGAAGGAGGGGCATCCAGAGGACTGTGAGGGGGTTCTAAAAGGGGGGTCCCCAGTCTGTGCTAGCCCCAGAGGCTGGAAGCAGCGCCGGGCCAGAGGGGCTGTTGTGTTCTGGAGGGTCTAACCAGCGAGAAACTGGGCTTCGTGGGAGGAGAGGAGAGGGGGCTGGAGAGGAGAGAGAAGTGGAGAGGGAAGGAAAGGGGCCAGGCCAAGGGCTTCGTCCTGAGAGGACCCACTGAGGACCAGGCTTTCCTGGGGGATGGGAGCCAAGGCGAGAAGAGGTTATTGGGAGAGGGCAGAGGGGAATGTGCCAAGGTGCTCCAGGCAGAGATGGGTCTGTGCTGGTGGAGAGCTGGGGAAGATGGGGTCTGAGGGAGAGGAGCGGAAGCTTGCGGGGGAAGGCTGGGGGTGATGAGAGAGGGAGACTGGGAAATCAGTAGGAGGGGGCTTTGCTGGGGTGGGAATGCGCTGGGGGCGGTGACAGGGTTCTGGTCAGAGAGTGCTGCAGGGGGAGAGGAAGCTGCTGGGCCCTTGGCTTGCTCCCCCACCCCTAAAGAGGAAGGGACCATTTCTCATGTCCCAGCCTCCTCCCCCAGCTGAAGCAGCAGTCTTCCCTGGGGTCTTTGGGTTGGGGTATGAGCCTTTGAACCCTTGATGGGCTCTTGGGGCACAACTGGCTTTGGGGTGCTGTTGTCTCCTTTATTCTCAGCCCCCTCCTGAGTCTTGGGAGAGGGCATTCGATGTCTCATTGAGCTAGCAAGGGCTGGGAGGGGCTTTTTCTTGGTGTCTGGAGGTGAAGGAGGAGGCTGTCCACCTGGAATAATGAAATAGATTTTTAGGGGGTGGGTCTTGGGTCCCCAGTCCCTTGGCTGCCCTGGGGGCTTCCAGATAGCCCTGTTTTTGTATGTGTTGGTGGGTGGGCATCTCTCCTCTTCCATTCATTCTTATCCTTCCCTCTTGTCCACCTTCCCAGTGTCTGGGTGTTCCTTTTGGGGGAGGGTAGACATTAGGGTCTTACTTTCTCTGTCTTCTGCCAGAGAAGGAGAAAGAAAGAAGGGGGAGGGAAGGAGAAGGGGAGGGAGGTCTGTGGTCCACTAACTGTGAGGCCTTCTGTTTTGTGGGTGCTTCAGCCCCTCAGTCCCTAGCTCCTCTTGCTTCCAGGGATGGCTCCAGGGATACTGGCATCTGAGGTGTGGCTGGATCTTTTGGGAGACAGGGGAGAAGGGTGTGCTGGGGGCTCTCCATTCATGCTAGAGGAAGTGTTCTCAGACCCATCCTGTCCTCAGATCCACAAGGGTGGGCGGGATGGATCAACCGGCCATGGCTGCTGGGCAGTTCTTTCCAGGAGCCTGGGCCTCTCCTGGCATCTTGGCCTGGGTTGAATCCATACGACAGTGGAGTTCTGAGAGGAGGGACTGGGTGATTGAGTGGCTGGTGGGGACCCCTCTTTCCTTCCAGGCTCAGTCACTACCCAGGTCCAGCTGCTCCCTCCTGCCTGCCCTTGCCAGTGACACAGACACTCTGACAATGATACACATGCTCAGTGGCACCCACCCAGACACACACCTACACAAGCACACACACCTGCGTACACAATACACCTCCTGGCAGCATACCGCCCACATTCCCCACCCAGAGAGGCTGCCACCTCGTGCCTGCCTCCTTGAGACCTCCCCCAGGTGCCTTGCTGTCATGTACACAACACACACACATGGTCACTACGTGCCCCCAGAGCCCCAAGCGCAGCACTGCCAGCCCTCACCCTTGGATGCACACAGCCCCCATCCAACCACTCACCTCCCCAGGCTCACAGCCATTGCAGGCACACCTGTGCTTCTTCCTCATACACCTTCAGTCCCTGCAACACACCCTCTCCTTCTAGACACCCCATCCCTCCCAGGTCTTCACAGCACATGTGCATACCCTCCTAGACACACCAGTCCCTGACCCCAGCAAGCTCATCCTGAAGTACCATGCGCATGTCTGTGTGGGTGCTGAGCACTTTGCCCCAGGCCTTTGTGTGTGTGCACGTGTGTGTGCACACCAACACACACTTGCTAATACACTTTATGCTGTGGTTCACCCCCTAAACCTCTCTTCTACTTTCTCTCTCACTCGCTTATCTTTGTACCTTCGGCCCAGGGCCTCCTACCCCTCCTGGTCACAACCACGACCCTTCCTGGTGGAGTCCAGCCCCCAGCTATACTTGGCTGCCCTGGGAGCCTTCCCATTTCTAAGTGGCCCCACCCCCCACATCAGTCCTCAGGCACAGGGGCCCCTACACCTGCCTGTGCACTGGAGACACTGTCCTTTCATTCGCAGCTCCCAAGTCCAGACCCCACAGGGATGCCCCGATTGTGTGTCCTCACCCGCCATCCACCCTGCTGCTCCATCTGTTGGTGCAGCTCCCCCACCCCTGCCCCTTCCACACTGATGGCCCTGTGGGCTCTTGGAGACTCATTCAACAAACAGTCTGATGCACACCTTCAGGGGTGTGCGTGGCACTTTGTTAGCATTTATGAAGCTGCTTCCCCACTGCCACCACTGCTGTTTGGCATGGTGGGGTGAGGGTGAGGCTGGGACTCCGCTGTGCTCCTCAGTGAGCCTCAGTTTCCTCACCTGTGAAATGGGATCCTCATCCCTACCTAATGGGATGTTACGAGGACTCACTGAGAGGACAATGATGGCAATGACAGTAGTAACAAGAACATTTATTGTGTACCTACTGTGTGCCTGGCCCTGTGCAAAGCACTCTGTAAACCTTACTTTGATGTATTTGTCAGGCACATAGAAAGTCCCCGTAAATGGTAGCTATTTTTATTGTCATTATCATAACCTTCCCTGCACACACACACACATACACACACCTGTCATAGATACCTTTAGGAACATTCCCAGGCACCTCGTGCTTACTCACAAGGCCGCCCCGGAAGCCATCTGTCCCCTCTGCATCACTGGGGTGCACCCACCCAGGCTGCTGTGCCGCAGCTGTGCACAGCATAGGTATGCTTGGTGCTTATCCCTCCCACCACCTACCTCCATGCTCCCAAGCACCTGTCCTCCGGCCCCCACTGCACCGAGTCATTCCATTGCACCTCCATCCCCAGCCCACCTGCTTCCCCAGCTCCACAAAGTGGCAACAACCTTGTCCTGTGCACCCTGAGCTATCAGCTCCTGGGCCCAGCCCGCTCCCTGCTTCTCTCCATGACACAGAGAGCTGCTTGGAGACCCATGGACATGCTCACTCATGCCCAGCCCACCCTGGCATGGGACTCTGACTTATCTTTAGACCTGTTTGTTCCTTCTCCTGCCCTCTGAGTCAGGACAATTGACGAGCAGAGTTGAGGAGGACACGAGGGATAGGGATTAGACAGAACCAAATCTGAATCCCAGCTCCGCCATTTACTATTTGTGGGACCTTGGATGGGTCCCTTCTCCCCTTTGAATATCTATTTCCTCATCTGTAAAAGGAGCAGTGATAATACTTGTCTTGCTTACTTTTCTCACCAAACCCTGGTGAGGATCAAAGGAAACACTATGCACTCAGTACTGCAAACTGTAAAAGGCCGAGATGAGAAGTTTTAAAAATAATCATTAATACGACACACTTTTTTTTTCACATGTTAGTCTACGCCAGGCACTGTACTAGGTGCTTTATGTATGTTAATTCTAATTTTGACAACACTATTACTATCTGTATTTTATACATAAAGAAAGTGAAGCACAGAGAGGCTGGGTAACTTACCAAAGATCACACAGCTGGGTAGGGGTAGAGCTGGCATTTGAACCCAGGCTTTGGAGCCAGTGCCTCTAACCACTGTGCTGTCTTGTTTTTGCTGCTGCTGAGGTTATGGCTGGGTTTGGACAGGCATGGGGTCTTCCCTTTTTTTCTGCCAGATCATCACGGCTGGAAGGAAGGGGAGGTAGGAACTGTTCACTGTCTGCCAATCCTGCCTGGAGTTTCATGGGGGAGAAGGGACCCTCCCAAAAACACTCTGCACCTGAAAAGAACCTCAGGGGTCAAGCAGTCTGCTGTCCTCTTCCATATGATTCAAGAGCCTCCCCCACGCCGAGCCTCTCTGAGCAGCAGTCATCCGGTCTCACCTCAAACACCTCCACAGACGGGGAACTCACCGCCCCCCGAGGCAGCCTACTCCATTGTTGGATGCTTTAGATTGCCAGCCAGCAAGTTTCTCTTTAGCCTGAGCCAAAATCTCCCCCCGTAGCACGCACTTCTCCCACCTGTCCACGGGCTGCCTTCTGGGGCCACCAGAATGTGTGTAAACCCAGCTCTTCCTCCCTGGCGCCTGGAGGAGGCCCCTGCTGTCTCACTCCCAGCTGGCATGAGAGGATGCTGGCGTGAGGAGAGGAGAGCCAGAGGGAGGCCGGCATCCCCATGGCTGGAGGTGTGTGTATGGGCGTGTGTTTGTGTGTGTGGGCATTGACAGAGAGGGGGCTGTGTGGATGTGGGGAGAAGGCCCTTGGCCAGGGGCTCTGCTTGTGTGGGCATGGATCACCATTTGCATACATGCCCCTGGTGGTGTGGGGCTGAGGCCTTTGGTCAGGCAGGAGGGCCCAGGTCCAGGTCAGCAAGTGCAATGGGAGGTGTCTGGAATGGAAGGCCAGCGACCTTGGTTCTAGTCTTGCTTTTCTGTGTGATCCCAGGCCAGCTCACTGCCCCTCCCTGGGACTCAGTTTCCACATCAGGAAAAAAGGAGAAGATGAACCCCATGAGCTCTGAGGTCTCTGTCTCCCAGTCCCAAGAGTGGGCTTTAGAGCGGGGCACCTGAGAGAGCCGTGTCCCCTGTGAAGGCCAGATCAGAGGAGGGTGGCTCTGACCCCCAGACACAGTGGTAAAAGAAATGCCTTGGAGCCCTCACACCCTTTACCTGCCCTGTGGCCTCAGGCAAGTGAATTCATCGTTCTAAGCTCAGCTTCCTGGTCTGTAAGCCAGAGTGACAAAATGACCTCCTAGAAGCTGAAGGATTGAATACGACAGTGTACATGGGGTCCAGCCTGGTATCTGATGCAGACGGAGCCCAAAGCTTGCAGCCCAGAGGCTTCAGTGGCACTGACTTGGCCATGGGAAGATGAGGAGGAGGCCCTGGCCTAGGAGGACCCAGGAAGAGTTACCGGGAGAGGGTAATGTTGAGTTATTGGGAGAGGGTAATGTTGAGTTATCGGGAGAGGGTAATGTTATCAGGAGAGGGTAATGTTGGGGAGAGGCAGCAGAAGTCCTGAGGGCAGCCTAGCCACTTCCTGCCCCATCCACTCCAGCTTGGGCACCACTGGCCCAAGGCTGCTGAGTCTATCTGTGGGCGGGGGCAGGGTGGGAGGCACTAGGGAGCTGACTGGGTGCAGAACCCCAGGATTACTCAGGAGGTCAGCTCCTCAGAGGTGTGGTGGCTCTGGGCCAGCAGTGGGTTGGGTGGCAGTGTGCACTGCACTGACGTCAGTGAGCAGGCAGGTTCCCCAGGGCCACCCTGCAGTGTCCCTGCACTGGCAGTGGGCAATGGAAGCAGAAAAGTGGGCCCTGGGGGGGCAGTACTTGGACGCTGTGGGTGCAGGGGGGCTTCCTCTGCAATGCATAAACCTGGGGAGGAGCTGTTGCCTTGTACAACTCCAGGGGACACTGTTTACTTGATGTGGCCATATGAGGCAATGGCCCTGGCCTGTGGGGAGACCTCTGGAGAAAGGGTTGCTGCTGAGTTCCAGGAGCTGAGGAAGGATGGAGCATCCCAGGGTAGCAGGAGCCCCCTGTGTTCTGGGAGAAGGGTGGGTTGGAGGCTGGGTCGGCTGTAGCCTGGGCCTGGGGCGGGAGAGGCCTGGGGAGGGGAAAGGCGAGGGAAAGAGCAGCACATTTCCTGGACACTGAGTGTGGGAATGGAAAGGACCCAGGTGTCCGCTGGCTCACTCCTCCTGGGGCCATCTCTGCCTGGCAAGCGTGAAGCCACCCCAAGGGCCTGTGGATCCCTGGGGAGAGAGGACTCAGGGAGTGCTGGGGCTTCCTCCTGGTCAGCCCCGCAGCCCCTGTGCCCCCCGCAGCCTGGCTGGCCTCTGCTGCAGAGCTGTGGGCTGCGGGGAGAATGAGTAATGAACCTTGAGGGGCCGCAGGCCCAGACCTTGCTTCTGACCCTCCCTGGAGGCACCGCATAAGCCCAGCCTCTGTCCCTGAACCGGCTCACAGAAGCCTGCCTGCATGGCACCCCTCCCACTCTCCCTCCACATGGACCAGTAGAACCTCTACCTCCTGGACTCTCACCCCTTCACCTCCCTGCCCCTCCACCCAGATAACATTCCCTTTGGCTCTCAGGACCCAGGCATCTGCCTTCCAGCCTCTGACAGCCTCCCCACCATCTTTCACTCTATCTGTCCTCCTCCAACTTCCTGCCCCTAGCTTTTCCCACAGAACCCGTCTGCCATCTCCCTAAAGGGTGGTGGATGTGACCATGGCAGGGGGTCTGGGCTGGGGGTGAGGCAGATGAAAGAATCCCTCCTATTCTGAGCTTGGGGGTGAGTGGACAGCAGCACGAAATCCTATTCCCTCCGCCAGTGGAAATCGATAGCTAATTAATTCCCTCCCCAAAATAGTGTCCGGAGGTGGGGGTGGGTGCTGGGAGAGCAGCAGACAGAGGCTAGGCCAGGCCAGACTGAGATGGAGACCCTAGCAGGGAGGGAGGGAGGCACGCTGGTCACTCTTCTGGCCACAGGGCTGTCCCTTTGCTGAGGGTCTTTGGCTACCCCTTCTGGAAAAGAGGAAAAGCTTAGACCTTTCCCTCCTGCGACGCCTGAGGAGCCCCCTTCCCTGCCCTGGGCTGGGGATGCATGTGAGTGTGGGGGGGTGAGGGCGTCAATCAGGCTGGGAGCAGGTGCTGCATTTAATTTGATTGGCTAATTAGCCTGCACATGTTAATTATCTCCATTACCCAATGAGGAGAGGCAGTGGCAAAGCTATATATAACCTGACAGTGTTTGTAAGGAGTGGGGGCTGCTTGCCTGGATCTCCTCCCCACTGCCCAGGCAGAGGCAGTCCTTGGAGGGGTGCTGGGGCAGGACATTGGAGCCTTGTAGGATTGGGAGGGCAGCAGTCAGGAGTTGGATGGCAGGACCCAAGGGCTGAGCTTTACGGGCCTCTTGGAGATGGCTGCCCCAACGCTCCTGACTACCTTCTGAGGCCTTTTCTGTCCAATCTTCCTCTGCACAAGGGTTACTCTCCAGACGCCCCCTCGCTATGGCTTTTTAGGAGGTCCCTCGTTTCCATCCACATAGCTCTTTGGCTCCTCACTGCACCTCTGCAGCCTTCCCCTCCCGAAGTCAGCCCTCTGCTTATCTTCTGGTTCTCACCTCACTGAGTTACACCTGTGGCTGTCCTGTGCTTTTTCTATTTCCTGGGAATGCTGGAGTCAAGCAGACTTGGATCTGAGTCTCAGTTCCCCGCTGACTGGCCACGTGACCTTGGGCAAGTCCCCAGATCTCTTTACCTGGGTTTCCCCAGGGGTTAATGAGGATAATGGGACTTCTCAGAGTGATTATGTAAAATGACATTTGTAAAAATGCCCAGCACCCAGGGCACTGACAAATGCTGTTTGGATTTGGAATTTAATTTTCTCTGTCTTTTCTTTCATTTCTCCCCACTAGGCCACCTTTCTCCTCCATTACTCTTCCATCTCTGTCACTTTTCAGGTACTTCCTCTCCTTCCTCTTTCTCTCCCCTCTTGCTTCAGTCTTTCCCTGTCTTTTTCTAAACTCTAGCCCCTCCCTGTTTCTCTCCCAGGCTTCTCCCCACCTCCTTCCCTCCCTCCCTCCCCAAAATAAAATCAATGCAATATTCAGGAGGGTTGTTGGATATAAATAATTACGACTTGGAGTTTAACGAGATGCAAATTCCCCTCCCCGGCGTGGGGTATAAATTGCTCTCTGACAGCCCGTTACAAGGGTAATCATTTCAGAAAGGCAATTTTATGCAAATGAGCCTGCCTGCCTCCTGGTGGCTCCCCCAATCTTGGGTGGGGGGTGCGCAGAGGGAACTGAAGGGTGAAGAGAGCCCAGGTAGTGGGGCCAGTCCTGAGGCTGAGCACCGAGAACTGGAAGTTGAGGATGACAGACATTTAGCTTCAGAAAGGACCTGGGTTGATAAGCAGAGAGGCTGGGGCCTGGGAAGGGGCGAGCGTGGTTTTGGGGGAACTGGAGACACAGAATTGGATGCCAGTGTCCCTGCTAGGATAGAGAGGGCTTGGGACCTGGATATCTGGGTCCTGGCTGGCTTCTCTCCCTTGCCCCCTTCCCAGTCTGGTTACCCTGTGATACCATTGACGAATTGGCATTTAATTAATCCCAATGAATTATTTAGCAACTTCATTATCCAGTATCAAGGGCTGATGAGAGGAACAGTGGCTGGAGGTGGGAGCCAGGCAAAGACGTTGGGCGGTTCAGAGAAGGGGCTGGGGTCACCAGGCCGAGGAGAGTGACTAGCCTCACTCGAGGAGCTGGCCTTGTTCCTGACACCCAGGTCCTTTGAGAGGGTGAGGGCGCGGGCAGATGGGTTGGGCTCTTACAGGGCTGGAACGTGTCACCTCTCCCTGTCGACATCTCAAACCAATGCTGCCCCTAGTGCGTGCCATCTCTCCCAAGTGCTGGCCCCTGGAATCCGTGTCTCTTGCCTCGGAACCCTCTGCAGGTCAGGGCCTCTCGCTAAGTTATGTAGGGAAACAGTCTGGTGCCTGCTGATATGAGTGGGGAGCCCGGCACTGACAGCCCCTGTCGTTGGAGCCCCTCATTAACCCTTTCCTCTCTGTTCTCCCGCAGGCATCCCTCCCCGCTCTTCCGTCGGAGCCCGCGGCGGGGGAGGGGCGCCGCCGCCGCCACCCGAGGGAAGCCGGCGCCTGGTCCTCTGCGCGCCTCGCCCCGCGGCCGGGCCCATGGCACTGTGAGCCGGCAAGAGAGCCCCGCTCGGCGCGGGGAGCTCCCGGCCCCCTCCCGCCCCATGCGCCCGCGGCTCTGAAGCCTGAGCGGGGGCCGGGGGCCTGGCGGGGCCGGGGCCGCCGGAGGCATGGCGCCCGGGAGTCGGTGGCGGCTGCCACCGCCGCCGCCGCTGCTGCTGCTGCTGCTGCTGGCGCTGGCGGCGCGCGCGGACGGCCTGGAGTTCGGCGGCGGACCCGGGCAGTGGGCTCGCTACGCGCGCTGGGCAGGCGCGGCGAGCAGCGGCGAGCTTAGCTTCAGCCTGCGTACTAACGCCACGCGCGCGCTGCTGCTCTACCTGGATGACGGCGGCGACTGCGACTTCCTGGAGCTGCTGCTGGTAGACGGCCGCCTGCGGCTGCGCTTCACGCTTTCATGCGCCGAGCCGGCCACGCTGCAGCTGGACACGCCGGTGGCCGACGACCGCTGGCACATGGTGCTGCTGACACGCGACGCGCGCCGCACGGCGCTGGCGGTGGACGGCGAGGCCCGCGCCGCGGAGGTGCGCTCCAAGCGGCGCGAGATGCAGGTGGCCAGCGACCTGTTCGTGGGCGGCATCCCGCCCGACGTGCGCCTCTCGGCGCTCACGCTGAGCACCGTCAAGTACGAGCCGCCCTTCCGCGGCCTCTTGGCCAACCTGAAACTGGGCGAGCGGCCCCCCGCGCTGCTGGGCAGCCAGGGCCTGCGCGGCGCCACCGCCGACCCGCTGTGCGCGCCCGCGCGCAACCCCTGCGCCAACGGCGGCCTCTGCACTGTGCTGGCCCCCGGCGAGGTGGGCTGCGACTGCAGCCACACGGGCTTCGGCGGCAAGTTCTGCAGCGAAGGTGAGCTCCGGGGAGCGGCCGCCTGGCGCCTGGGCGCGGGGGTGAGGTCCTGGGGCGCCCCGTGGGGGTCGGAGCCTGTGGGGGCTCCTGAGGCACGGGGGCTGGGCGCGAGGGCTTGTGAGTGGGTGCGAGCGCGCCAGGACTGCGGGGACGCGTGTCCGGGCGAGGGCGCGTGGGGTTGGCGGTGGGCGGGGCGAGCGGGCGTGGCCGGCGTGGGCGTGGTCAGCGTGAGTCCCGCGGCGACCTGTGGGCAGCCTGTGTGGCCAGGTTCTGAAGGGGCTGCTGAGGGTGGGGTGCACGAAGCCCTGTGGGCTTGGTGGGTGAGGGGCTGTGAGGCGCTGGTGAAGGCTTGTGGATGGGGTCTGCGTGGACAGGGCTCATTAAAGGCAGTGGGCGGGGACCATGGGGCCCCTGGAGGACAGTGGGTGGGGCTTCTGCATAGAGCGGGACCTCGTATGAGGCCGTGAGGGGCGGTGGGTGGGGCCGGCGTGGAAAGGCCAGTGTGGGCAGGGCTTATGAGACAGGGGGCAGGACCTCGTATGAGGCCATGAGGGGCTGTGAGTGGGGCCTGTGTGGAAGGCCAGTGTGGGCGGGGTCTATGAGACAGGGGGCGGGGCCTCATGTGAGACCGTGAGGGGCTGAGTGGGGCCTGTGTGGAAGGCCAGTGTGGGCGGGGCCTCGTGTGAGACCGTGAGGGGCTATGAATAGGACCTGTGTGGAAGGCCAGTGTGGTCAGGGCCTACGAGACAGGGCAGACCTTGTATGAGGCTCTGAGGGGCTGAGTGGGGTCTGTGTGGAAGGCCAGTGTGAGCGGGGCCTATTAGACAGGGGACTGGGCCTCCTGTGAGATCATGAGGGGCTGAGCGGGGCCTGTGTGGGCGGGGCCTATGAGACAGGGGGCGAGGCCCCGTGTGAAACCGTGAGGGGCTGAGTGGGGCGTGTGTGGAGAGGCCAGTGTGGGCAGGGCCTATGAGACAGGGATTGGAGCCATGTGGTGGGGCCTTCGGGCAGGGGGGCGTAGTCGACAGTGGGTCGCAGTCTTTGAAGGTCCGCGAGTGAAGGGCGGGAAGTGCGGCCTGTGCGGCCTGAACAAGCACCAAGGGATGAGGGCCTAGGTGTGAGGACGCTGAGTGTAAGGAGAAGGGCACAATAGCGATTCCAGGGCAGGCGAGGGAGAATGGGGATTGCGAAGCTGTGGCCAGGAAGGGAGGGCTTCTTTTTCACCACAGAATCCTCAGAGCGCCTTCAAAGAGTAAAGGGAAAGCGAGGGAGAGGGTGGCTGAGGCTTCTCAGGCTCCTTACGAGGAGTGGACAGTTTGGGTGAGGGGCAGGGATGGCCAATAGTTTCTCTTGATGACAGACGGGGCGTGGAGCCCCTGAGAGCGTCGGGTTTGGTGGGAGATTGCTGGGCTGGGCAGGGCGAGGTGGGACCCTGGGCTGTGGGGCTGACTATGGAATGGCGCTTGGGAGAGAGGCTCAGCGGAGGGAGGGGTCCGGCCAGCACCCGCGCTGCCCGAGGCCGAGAGTCTTTCCAAGACCGTGAAGTGGAGAAGTGCGGGCGGGCCCTGGGCTGAGCGGCCCGGGGCAGGGCTGTGGTGTCGGGGGGCTGAGGGGAGGAGGCACTTGGAGGAGCCTCTTTCTTAAGGGTCTGGCTGGGCGGTGAGAAGGGGCTCCTCTATCAGTCTGGGGGCGGCGCATGCGCGTCTCTCCCCGCCCCTCGTCCCTGTTCTTCCAGTCCGTGTGTGCCTCAGGCCTGCCCTCCTCTCCCCTGGTCCCTCTAGAAGCTGTGGGCCACTCAGCGGTTGTGTGTGTGTGTTCGTCCTCCCTCCCGGGGCAGAGGCTTTTGAGGGAGCGTGTGCATGTGCACGTGTGCGCCAGCAAAACGAAATGGCCTGGTACTGCTTTGGGGATAAGTGTCCTGTGGCTGTGTGCCTATGGGCAGCCATGGGAGGGGCCCAGCCTGCAGGTGTGGCCCTGGGTGTGGGAAGCCTGCACTTGGGAGTGTCGTTTGCCTGCGCATCTGTAGTTGTGGTCGATGAATACATTAGAAAGTTCTGGGGATTGTTTTCTTGGGGTTATTGGTACAAGGTTGTGGGATGCCTCATGAGAAACTGTGTATTAAGTTAAGCTGACACCTTCTCACCCTTTCTCCAAGGAGTTCAGGTGTTTCCTAAACTGTGAAATTCTGTGTTGGTGTGTGTTTGCCTGCGTGTAGAGGCCCGCGAGTCTGGCAGTGTGTATTTGACGTGTGAATGGGTCTGTTTGAATAGCAGTGTTTGCAGATAGGAGCCTAGTGCCTAGTAGAGTGAGTAGTTCCCAAGTGTGAGGGTGTCTGCTCATGTGCCTGTGTTTTAATGTGAGGCTTCAGTAAGACAGCTGGAATGTATGAGGACTTTTTCTTTCCAGAACCTTAATTTGATCCTCTGGTTCCTCTACCCTTCCCCCAAAGCCCGCCTAAGAAAACAGGATGAACCATCCTCTAATTTGATGGAGGGAAAGCTCGAGCTTCAGGAGGTTAGGGTAACTGGTCCCTGGCCTCACTGTGGCTGAATTGGGCTTGGGTGTATGAAAAATGCAGCCAGAGGCACCTTGGTCAACCAGAGCCTTTGTATCCATTCCCTGAGAGGATTCATTGGCCAGAGGCTTCCAGTGAGGCAAACAAGTGCATGCTTCTGAATATGGGTTGTGTGGTTGTGTGTCTAAGATGTGTTTGAGTAACTGTGGGAGAGGGATGGATGTGTGTATAATATGGCTTGGTATCAGATGAATGTTTGTGTCAGCTGTGGTGAAGCTGTGAGAGATGGTTGAGTATGTGTATCTGACCCATTGTGTGTGTGTGTATGTGTGAGATTCATGTAAGAAAAGGGAACGTGAGCCGGGTGCGGTGGCTCACACCTGTAATCCCAGCACTTTGGAGGCTGAAGTGGGCAGATTACTTGAGGTCAGGAGTTCGAGACCAGCCTGGCCAACATGGTGAAACCCCGTCTCTACTAAAAATACAAAAATCAACCAGGCATGGTGGCGGGTGCTTGTAATCCCCACTACTTGGGAAGCTGAGGCAGGAGAATTGCTTGAACCTGGGAGGTGGAGGTTGCAGTGAGCTGAGATGACACCACTGCACTCTAGCCTGGGCGACAAAATGAGACTCCATCTCAAAAAAAAAAAAAAAAAGGCCGGGTGCGGTGGCTCAAGCCTGTAATCCCAGCACTTTGGGAGGCCGAGACGGGTGGATCACGAGGTCAGGAGATCGAGACCATCCTGGCTAACCTGGTGAAACCCCGTCTCTACTAAAAAATACAAAAAACTAGCCGGGCGAGGTGGCGGGCGCCTGTAGTCCCAGCTACTCAGGAGGCTGAGGCAGGAGAATGGAGTAAACCCAGGAGGCGGAGCTTGCAGTGAGCTGAGATCCGGCCACTGCACTCCAGCCTGGGCGACAGAGCCAGACTCCGTCTCAAAAAAAAAAAAAAAAAAAAGGGAAAGTGAGATATAAGGTGGGTGCCAGCTGGTAGGGGCAGGGTTGCCTGTGTGTATGTGGTGTGTGTGTGATGTGTGTGTGTGGTATCTTTTGAGAGAGCAGTGCTTTGTGGTAAAGGGGGAGTGTTGTGTCTTTATTCATTTCTGTATTTCCAGCACCTAATCTGGTACCAGACACATAGTGGGTGTTTGATAAAGATTTGTGGAATGAATGGAGAGATGTTAATAAGTAATTGAGAGAATAAAGGCTTGGGGCAAAGCTGTACATACATATGAAAACATGTATGTATGTATTTTCAGATATATGTTGTGGGTGGGCATGGGGGTTGTAGGCACTGATTGCATCTGGAGATGACAGGCACAGCAACAACCCTACTGATTCCCTTCTTTTCTCTCCCCACTCTGCAACCTCATTTCTTCTTCAATTTGTTCCTTATTTCCTGGGTAGCTTTTATAATATCCTGTGCTCATTGTACTTCGAGTACTTTCTCATCCAGTCAAGGAGGAAAGACATGGGCTCCCATGGTTGGGTACTGGGGTGAGGAAGGAAGACTTTAAGGGGAGCAGGCCTGGCTCCTGATCTCTGAGACAACTCTAGGGGTCAGAATCCCCAGGCCTCCTTGGAGTTATAATCACTTTATCATCTGTTGTGAGTGGTTCCCAACTCTTTCTGAGACTGAGGAGTTTTTTGTTTGTTTGTTTGTTTGTTTTTTGAGACAGACTCTCGCTTTGTGCCCAGGCTGGAGTGCAATGGCACGAGCTCAGCTCACTGCAATCTCTGCCTCCTGGGGTCAAGTGATTATCCTGCCTCAGCCTCCCCAGTAGCTGGGATTACAGGCACCTGCCACTATGCCCAACTAATTTTTGTATTTTTAGTAGAGATGGGTTTTCACCATGTTGGTCAGGCTGGTCTCCAACTCCCGACCTCAGGTGATCTGCTTGCCTTTGCCTCTCAAAGTGCTGGGATTACAGGCGTGAGCCACCGCGCCTGGCCCACTGAGGACATTTTAAGAAGTCAGTAATTCACAGTACCCCTTCCAAAGTAGTTATTATTTTTATATCTGTTTAGTGTGAGTATAAATGACTCAAAGCTACTGTGAATTTGGAAAAGCTTTTAGATGACTTTGATGTTATATTTGCCATTGTGGTTAATAAAATATACATTAGAAAAATGGTTTTAGCTTTATATGCAAGATGTTTCAATCTGCCTTCAGATGTTTGGTGTGCATACGGATTTGTGTATCCTTTGGAATCCCTCCTGCTCTCCCAGGGTCTGGGCTTACTCATTGATGGAGAACCTCCATGCTAGGAAATTTGCATTCTCTCTCTCTCTCTCAGGGATCTGGCCACACATAATTGAAGACAGAGCTCAGTAGGAGTGGCTGAGAGTCTGTCTACTGTTGCTGATTATCTGCCAAAGCTGGGATAGAGTAGACTGGGATCTTGCAATTATTTGCATGTCAGTGCTTACTCATGTCACCTGTGTGTGTGGAGAAGGGGCTGAAAAGGGATCAAAGAAGAAGGGATGTGCAGGCATGTGTGTGAGACCTCAGGTGGAGTGATGGTGCAGGTGTTTAGAACAGAGTGTCAGGTATATACGATTTGCTCAGGAGAGAAATAGGAAACTAGTTGTAATGTGTGTGCTTGCAGGGAGGTAGACACACATGTCTCATGTGTTTTGTGTTAATGATTTAATTCAACAGGTAGTTATCAAGGCCTCCTTTGTGATAGACTGTGTGTTGGAGGCTACAGTGGGGTCAGAGATGAATAAGATGACTCTGTGCTCTGGGAGTTGACTGTTTTTTTTTTTTTTTTGAGGTGGAATTTTGCTCTTGTTGCCCAGGCTG